AATCTCTAGGTCCTCCAGCACAACTCTATGGCTAACTTTAACCCAAAGTCACCCTGAAGGACTTAGAGATTCCTAGAGAGAACACTCCATTAGGCATTGTAGCTCCTCCAGTGCAATTCTATGGCCAATGTCTGGAAGAAGTTGACTACAGAGTTGCACTGGAGGACCTGGAGATTCCTAGAGAGGTGTTCTGTCAGGTAAAATCATAGTGTTTTTGTTATTTGCAGGTTTTCCACATTCATGGGGGGGAGGTTCCTGTGGCCCTAACCCCAGCGAATGTGGAGGGATGAGTATATAGCTAGCCCTAGTTGATTCTTATATATCTTTTATTACTTAGAATTTAAATACAGCTTCCTAAAAGTAAGTGACTGAACTTCATTGTGGTCTAACAGTCATAAGCCTGAATTCTGTTATATAACTGGCCAGTTATGCAAGTGTTTGGACTTTTTACTGGCTTCCTTAAAGACATCTCTGCAATGTCCTTGCACAAGTGTACCCACAAGTTGCACAACAGTCTGAAAAGACTCAGGACACAGCTCCTCTCCCCAACTCTAGCCTGGACAGCTTAGTTGCCTTGCAAGCTTATAAAGTTATACAGCTCAGTGTTATGCTACACCAGTGATTCCTACATTGTAGTCCTCTAGGTGTTTTGGACTTCAGAACCCAGAAGCCCCAGCCAATGTGGCCAACAGTCTGGAATTCTGATATCTGAAGTCAAAAACATCTGGAGGACAGAAGTTTGGGAACCACTGTGCTACACTGTTCAGGGTCTTGGCCTAAGTGCAAAATATGATTTCTGTAAAAGCCTTAATAATAGGGGTGGGGGGGGGGCATATTTTCCACCATTTCCCTGAATCCATGATTTACCCAATCTGATAATCCAGGACAGATCTAATGCACATCTTATCCACTGCTTTATTGTGTGTTATAGCTTAACAGATCCCACACACAGGCCCCACACTGAATAGAGGTTGCCCAGTAGCAGCAATAGCTGGATTGTGCTGAATCTTCATATTTTCATCAGCCAAAATGGTCTGGGCAAGGTAACCCCTACTATACAACTTAGTAAAGCAGAAGAAATTCATGACGTGAAATGTGTATCAGCTTATGTTTATTTATAATACTATATACACAGTAGCCATAAGTCAGAACACTCTGGAGCCAAGCGATACACTTTTATAATGCCTGAGTCTTCATTAAGATTTCATCATCCACCTACACTAAAAAGCCTCTTCATCCACTTTATTATATCTGCTTTTACTCAGACCCTGTCCCTGCATTATTTTAATCTCCAGTTCCCTACTTTACATGCACTTTCAAATTTTAAACAAGCAAAATTTGTGCATTAGTGTGTCCTTTTCATTTAAGATTTATGACTGACAGGTTCCTCGGTGCAGCTAATGGTATGAGAGGGAGACATTATTTTAAACATTAAAGTGAAAACCATTTGCAACTATGATAAGAGAGGTCTGTTGACATTAAAGTTTAAAACCTGCACAAGGTAAAGGCGAGTTGCTCAACCAACAGGTGAGGGCACCATGCGTGCAGTTTGTAAGGGGGTTTGTTCAACACATTAACTGTCTCTCCTTCTCTCTGTTTCACAACCTGTAGTCTTTGGTGTGTCAAACAATCCATCAAGTCATCAGCAGCAACCAGAATTTAATCGCTTAAAAAGTACTTAGAGTGCTGTGCAGAGCATTCATTTAATAGAAGCCCCATTTTATCTGTGGGAAACTTTTCTCTGCATTTATATCAGCAAAATCTTTTTTTTTTTTAATGGAAAGGTCTGAAGCTAAATTTGTTCCTTTCACACATGCTTCATCATTTTCTATTAAAGTTCTTCTTGTATACTGTCTGGGGTGGGTGGGTAAATATAAATACATATCGTATGCTGTACAACAGAAAATATAAAACCCCAGATGGATTAATAATTGAGGGTGTTCCCAGATGAAGCATTTGTTACATAATGGTACCTGCATATTCAAAAGACCATCTTATGTCTGGTGGCTGCTTCAATCAATATTTTTGCCATGAAAAAAAATGAATAAAAAAGACCAAGGATGGAGGTTCCCTGGCAGCAATATTTTTGCCAAACACCAGCTTCTCTTCCAGATAACATGCATCTCCTCCTTTCTTAGGTCCAAAACACACTGCAGGAAAAAAATACAGTTTGAGACCACTTGAACTGCCCTGGCTCAATGCTAGGAAACTCTGGGAACTGTATGAGGGAGTATCATAAAGTAATAATTATCATCTGGAAGATATTATGGTATATTGATGAAATTTTGTTGGTGTCATTATTGGTCCCTAGGTACATGATGTTGAGCAAATCAGCTCATTATGTTGTTCATTTTTTTTTTTTGCTATAGATTGTACCAGAAGAGACTAAAGTGTAAGATGGAAAAGTTTGAGGGGGTTTCGTAAAGTAATAATTATCACCCAGAAATTATTATGGTATATTGATGAAATTTTGTCAGTGTCATCATCACCAAGTGACTTTTTCTTTTCTCAAAAATGAAAAATCCATTGTTGGTTGCTGATTTGACAACACAGATGACATCATTCATGAAGTGGAAGAGTGATTTAAAATGCAATCTGCAGACTTCTACAATAACGGTATTTGGAGGTCAAGAAATGCTAGGAAAATGTGTAAATATGGATGGTGATTATGCAAAGATAAGTTAACAACTATAAATCAAAACAAACTTTTTGTCAATTTTTTTTAAATGTGAGATATATGTGAGACTTTAAAAATCTGCCCCACTTCTTCTCCAGCACTGTGGGGGCAAAGAGAGGATGCTGAGGCTTTCACTCTGTTTTCTGGAATGGATTGGAGAGCGTACCAACCATTCCACAGAACCTCACCTTCTTCTCTGCAATGCCAGGTTGGTTAAAAATAAGACCCATATTATATATCATCTCCTCCTAGATGGGGATGCCAAACTGGCTTGCTTTACAGAAACCTGGCTGGGACAGGATAGCGCCATAACTTGGACGCAGGCCCTCCCAGCTGGGTATTCTGTCAGTGAGCAGGTAAGGGGAAGTGGGTGGGGTGGCAGAGTGGCTCCGGTTCATAAAAATAACCTGATCCTGACCAGGATACCTGTCTGGTACACAGTCCACTTTGAGTGTATGTACCTAAGCCTGAGGACCAAGTATAGTTTGTGGATTCTGCTAGTATACTGACCACCCCGTTGTCTAGCAGACTCCCTAACCAGCTGACACAGCTGGTCTCTGTTGGAGTCACCCAGACTTTTAGTTTTGGATGACTTCAACATTCCGCTTGAGACCAGCTTGTCAAATTTAACAGGTGCGGCTTGGGAGTTCATGGAATCC